CCTTTGTTGATATTCAAAGTTGCACAAGCAATTTTGTCTTTAATTTTTGAAGTATAATTTGGCTTTAAAGATTTTTCAAATTCACATGCATGATATGGTTTAATTGTTACAAAAAGTGGATCTGATTTTATTTCATAAACATCATTTCCTTCTATCATTTTTAATTGCACTTTAATATTATGTTTTGATGTGTTCCCAAGACACAACAATTCGCGACTGTATTCATTAACTGGAATCTCTCCATTTTCATATTCACTTCCAAATAACAACTCTGGTTTGTTTGTTGATATTTCCTTTAACAATTTAATGAAAATGATATTCGATTTTTTTATTTTAAAAACACAAACATTTTGCGTTCTTTTTTGGTTTTGTTGTGATTATACACATATAAGAAAACACAAATTATTATCAACATAATTATCACAACAATTATTGCAATAACTATAATTGGGATACCAATCCGATTAAATTTAATCAAATAGTTTTCGGTACACGACAATCCATCATCTAATGGTTTTCTATTTCCTTCACATGAGACACAAAGAGAATGTCTTGCAGCAGTGCAAAATTCAATTTCCTTGTAATAAAGGCAAATGCCATTTTTTAAAAATATAAATTGTATTATTACACATTTCACGTCCTTTCAGTGAAGTGCATGAAATACAGTTATCTGCACATTTGGAACAACAAGGCGTCGTCAGGTAATACCCTTCTCCACAAGTTTTACATCCAGTATTCGTCTTGTTTTTGCTTCCAATTAATTTGTCATAACTTAGACACAACTATTTGTATTGTCTGAAAAGTACTCATTTGAACATTCGTAACATGAAATTGAATCTTTGCATTCGGAACAAGAAGAGTCACATTTATTACACATTTTTGACCATAATAATACCTTTCTTTGCAAATCACACACCCAATACCGTTGCCCATTGGTTGTTGACAATTTTCAGTCAAATTGGTTACAACGCACTCACCTTTATTATTGAGCAATAATTTCTTTGAGTAATCACATGTCAAGCAAAATGTTGAATTAAAACACATCTCGCAATTATTAATGCATTCAACACATTCATTGTTTTCTAAGTAATATCCATCATTGCATGAAAGACACCCCTTTTTCATTCGGATATCGACATTCTGTGTTATCATAATTACTTTTATTGAATAATAATTTATAACTT